GACCATTAATTACCCAACAAAAGGCTGCAGTAAGAATGATAACAAATTCTCACTCCAGGCAGCATACTCCACCAATATTCAAAACTCTAAACTTACTCATCGTACAAAACATCCATACTTATTATTGTGCCTACTACACACAAAGGGGGCAGTAAAGCAACAGCAAAGAACTACAGACCAATAGCACTAACATCCCATATCATAAAAATCTTTGAAAGGGTCCTAAGAAGCAAGATCACCACCCATCTAGAAACCCATCAGTTACACAACCCAGGGCAACATGGGTTTAGAACAGGTCGCTCCTGTCTGTCTCAACTACTGGATCACTACGACAAGGTCCTAAATGCACTAGAAGACAAAAAGAATGCAGATGTAATATATACAGACTTTGCAAAAGCCTTCGACAAGTGTGACCATGGCGTAATAGAGCACAAAATGCGCGCTAAAGCAATAACAGGAAAAGTCGGTCGATGGATCTATAATTTCCTCACTAACAGAACACAGAGAGTAGTTGTCAACAGAGTAAAGTCCGAGGCAGCTACGGTGAAAAGCTCTGTTCCACAAGGCACAGTACTAGCTCCCATCTTGTTCCTCATCCTCATATCCGACATAGACAAGGATGTCAGCCACAGCACCGTGTCTTCCTTTGCAGATGACACCCGAATCTGCATGACAGTGTCTTCCATTGCAGACACTGCAAGGCTCCAGGCGGACATCAACCAAATCTTTCAGTGGGCTGCAGAAAACAATATGAAGTTCAATGATGAGAAATTTCAATTACTCAGATATGGTAAACATGAGGAAATTAAATCTTCATCAGAGTACAAAACAAATTCCGGCCACAAAATAGAGCGAAACACCAACGTCAAAGACCTGGGAGTGATTATGTCGGAGGATCTCACCTTCAAGGACCATAACATTGTATCAATCGCATCTGCTAGAAAAATGACAGGATGGATAATGAGAACCTTCAAAACTAGGGAGGCCAAGCCCATGATGACACTCTTCAGGTCACTTGTTCTATCTAGGCTGGAATATTGCTGAACTCTAACAGAACCTTTCAAGGCAGGTGAAATTGCCGACCTAGAAAATGTACAGAGAACTTTCACGGCGCGCATAACGGAGATAAAACACCTCAATTACTGGGAGCGCTTGAGGTTTCTAAACCTGTATTCCCTGGAACGCAGGAGGGAGAGATACATGATTATATACACCTGGAAAATCCTAGAGGGACTAGTACTGAACTTGCACACGAAAATCACTCACTACAAAAGCAAAAGACTTGGCAGACGATGCACCATCCCCCCAATGAAAAGCAGGGGTGTCACTAGCACGTTAAGAGACCATACAATAAGTGTCAGGGGCCCGAGACTGTTCAACTGCCTCCCAGCACACATAAGGGGGATTACCAACAGACCCCTGGCAGTCTTCAAGCTGGCACTGGACAAGCACCTAAAGTCAGTTCCTGATCAGCCGGGCTGTGGCTCGTACGTTGGTTTGCGTGCAGCCAGCAGCAACAGCCTGGTTGATCAGGCACTGATCCACCAGGAGGCCTGGTCACAGACCGGGCCGCGGGGCCGTTGACCCCCGAAACTCTCTCCAGGTAAACTCCAGGTCACAGAACACTAAACTCTGATATAAACCCTCCCCTCAAACGTCTTACCAACCTCAACAGGACACATGACCATAACACAAGGCACAGATCACTCTTTGATGTTCCCTGTGTCCATCTCACACTATGTAAAAACTCAATGCACATATAAGGCCCAAATATCTGGAATTCATTACCTGTGAATACAAAAGAAACACTGTCTGTTTATCAATTCAAGACTTCTTAAAAACCACTTACTCACCCACACCTAAATAAATATTGAATAACTGTATCTCTCAAATGTATAACCTATGATCCTATCAAACTATGTTTTTTAATTATATTACCTAATAGAATAGAATGCTCAGTAACTCGTCTAATGACCATATGACCTATTTCTGCACAACAAATCATCGATTTTATTTTATTTGATCGGATTAATAAGTTGTATGACTTCTTACAGTACTGTATATCGATCATTTTGTTATATTAAACATTGTTATGCTACAAATTTGTACAACTATAATGCTTCTTAACCGAAATACTCATTTCAGTTAATCCATTCAAGAGAGCTTATCTTTAGGCGAATTTATCGTTAGTCGAATTAATTTCCCCTAAGAAATAATGGAAATCCAATTAATCCATTCCAGACACCCAAAAGTATAAAAAATTTTTTTTTACATGAAATGTACATTTTCCTACACAGAAAAAGAAGGATACATGCACAATAAATACTGTACTAAATGAAGAATAAATGACACCTTTACTGAAGATGTAGTGATGAGATGGGAGGAGGGGAGATGGAGGTGTATTATTGTTTGAAAGGGGAATCCCCTTCCATAAGGACTTTAGGTACCAATTCCTTTTTCGGGGTTACTTCCCTTCTTTTTTTAATGCCACTGGGAACAACTTGAGAGTCACTGGATCTCTGTCACACCAAAAATCTGTCCATAGAGCTCTGTACCTTGTGTTCCTTTAAGATTTTCCCAAAATGGGCCACAACATTGTCATTGCAAAAGTCACCAGCACGGCTTGCAATAGCTGTGTCAGGGTGATTTTCACCCATAAAGGTTTGCACATCAACCCACTTTGCACAAATTTCCTTAATCTTTGAAGAAGGCAACTTCCTCAATTTCTCTCTCCCCTCCTCTGAAGCAGTTTCCTCAGTTGCAGCTTCTTGCTGTTGTAGATGCTCTTGCAACTCATCAGAGGTTAGTTCTTCATCATCGTCCTCCACCAACTCTTCCATATCCTCCCCACTAACCTCCAACCCCATGGACTTCCCCAATGCCACAATAGATTCCACAACTGGCATAGGCTCCTGAGGGTTAGCCCCAAACCCTTTAAAATCCTTCTCTTGTACACATTCTGGCCACGGTTTCCTCCAAGCAGAGTTCAAGGTCCTGTTAGTCACTCCCTCCCAAGCCTTACCTCTAAGGTTTATGCAATTGAGGATACTAAAGTGATCTTTCCAAAAGTCTCTTAGGGTCAATTGAGTGTCTGAGGTCACTTCAAAGCACTTTTGAAACATTGCTTTGGTGAAATTTGAAATGACCTGCTGGTCCATGGGCTGGAGGAGAGGAGTGATATTAGGAGGCAAGAACATGACTGATAAAATTCAAGTCCCCCAAAATTCGCTCTGGCAAGTCTGAAGGATGAGCAGGAGCATTGTCTAATACCAGGAGGCACTTGAGGTCCAATTTATTTTCCAGGAGGTAATTTTTCACAGTGGGGCCAAACACATGATAAAACCAATCATAGAAAATGTCCCTAATGACCCATGCCTTACTGTCTGCCTTCCAAATCACACACAAATTAGCCTTGACGACATTGTTTTTCTTGAACACTCTGGGAGTTTCAGAGTGATACATGAGTAGAGACTCACTTTACAATCCCTACTAGCATTACTACACAACATGAAAGTTACCCCTGTCTTTCATAGGCTTGTGTCCTGGCAGTGCTTTTTCCTCCTGTGTAATGTACGTCCTGTTTGGCATTCTCTTCCAAAACAGGCCTGTTTCGTCACAATTAAACACTTGTTGGGGTTCTAATTTTTCAGTGTCTATGTACTCCTTGAATTCCTGCACATATTTTTCAGCTGCTTTTTGGTCTGAACTGGCAGCCTCACCATGCCTTACCACACTGTGTATGCCACTACGATTCTTAAATCCCTCAAACCAGCCTTTGCTGGCCTTAAATTCAATAACATCACTAGTTGCAGGCATTTTTTTAATTAAATCATCATGCAACTGCCTTGCTTTTTCACATACGATTGATTGAGAGATATTATCTCCTGATATCTGTTTTTCGTCTATCCACAACAACAACAGTCTCTCAACATCTTCGAGTACTTGCAATCTCTGTTTCAAAAACATGCTTGCACCTTTTGCAACAACAGCTTCCTTGATTGCCTTTCTGTTGGCCAAGATAGTAGCGATGGTTGATTGGGGTTTGTTATACAACCTGACCAACTCGGAGACATGCACTCCACTTTCATAATTTGTGATTATCTCCTTCATTTCTATTGTAATTCTCACCCTTTTTACCACAGGGTTGGCACTAGAAGCTTTCTTTGGGCCCATGGTGGCTTATTTAGCAGTTACAAGCACTAGAAACACTGGAATAATACAAAATGTACTGAATGTATGAGTGGAAGTGACTGCACTGTCTTGTAAACACTGGCACCCTAACTGAAGGCAGGGCAGCTAAGGCGTGCTCAGGCCAGACAGACACATGGACGCGTTTGGGATGAATGTTGTCAGTCGAGTTTTTCATCGTTGGTCGGACCAAATTTTTATGCTAAAACGCTTCGTTAGGCGATTTTATCGTTAGACAATGCTTTCGTTGGTCGGGGGTCCACTGTACTTCATGTTGTAATTTGTTTACTGTAATTTTTACCACTGAATATATCATTGCTTAGTTAATCTTAAATTAATTTTAAGCCTGCCCATAATGCTCTGCATACAAGGGGCTTTTGGCATGTACACCCAAGCACTATAATTCCTTGTACAACTATGTATCATGTCCAAATAAAAATTATTATTATTATTATCTAGGCTAAAATTTACCGTTCACAACTTTTCTGAGTGAGCTGAGCTCATGATGTAGAACTATATCAGGGACCCTGGCCTCAAAGACAGTTTTTATGTGACAGTCAGCAAAAGGGGTTAATTCTTTCAATAATAATCTACCATACACCTTACCAGGTATACTCAACAAGCTTATTCCCCTATAATTCTTACACTCTCTTTTGTCCCCATTGCCTTTATACAAAGGAACTATGCATGCACTGCTGAAATGTAATACCAAAAAATATTTGACATTACATGAACTATCAGTAATGCAAAATGTTTGAGTTTAAAATACAGAAAATTAAAATGGTATTTAACTGAACATTTTTAATACTAACCCTTTCAAGTGTGGTCTGGGTAACAGAATAATCATCAATTGGCAACTCATGATGATTTCTTTCTATGGTGCCAAACACTGATGACCACGTGAACCCCTCAATAGGGATGAAATATTCCATCCGGCCCCACTGCATTTCTCGCAAGCTATTTGCTGTGTGGATAAACACTAATTAAGAAACACAATTTTTTTTTTTTTCATATAACATACTGTTTCCCACCAAGGTAGGGTAACAACCCCTCCATCAAAAACCGTCTCATCAGCTGTGTGGAAACATCACAATTCAGAAACTCAAATGACCCCTGAAATTGCTACATGCCCACCCTTCTTTCAGAAAGCTGGCTTTCACTTCTACAGTAGAAAATAGTTAACCTACTGAAGCATGCAATTTTCATCTTAAAACACATATGGATAATTGAAATATTTATGATTTACACGTCTACAAATAATACTGAACGTGCACATCAATGAAAATGACAATGAAAATAAAGTTTATTTAGCTATCTAAATTTTCTGCAAGTTACAAATAATAAGTGCAATGGAGTACAAGCTAAATGAAATGTCATTGGTTATGAAGAGTATTTTGGGCATGCTAAAACTGACTTATCATCAGAACTTAAAATTAAGAAAAATAAATGTATAGGTAAGGTTTAAATTGCTTGAAAGCTAAGCTTGATACACCCTGTTAATATGTAGAGATAGTAAACTAAATTGGAGAGTCAATTTTGAGTGAATTAATAATTTGGTGACCAGAAAAGGGAAAAATTAATACCTTATACTCAGAATAAGGAAAGCAATTTAACTATATTCATAAAAACATACTTTAATTACAACAAACATTTAACTCTCCTAGCCTAAAAAATAACTGGCACCAGCATTTAACTCTCCTAACCTAACACAGACTTCTTCTTCTTCTTCTTTCAACAAACTGGCAAGTCATAAGAATCATAGTCATTTCTTATGACTTGCATGGCTTACAGAGGAAGAATTCTGTTACACTTCCCCATGGAGACAGAAATAAACAAGATCAAAAGCTAGCAGAAAATAGAAGAAAACCCAGAGGGGTGGGTATATATATGCTTGTATATGTATGTGTAGTGTGACCTAAGTGTAAGAAGAAGTAGCAAGATATACCTGAAACCTTGCATGTTAATGAGACAGACAAGACACCAGCAATCCTACCATCATGTAAAACAATTACAGGTTTCTGTTTTACACTCACCTGGCAGGACGGTAGTACCTCCTTGGGCGGTTGCTGTCTACCACCCTACCACCTAGGCCTAACACGGACATGAGCGTTTAACTCACCTATTCTAACACTGGCACCAGCATTTAACTCTCCTAACCAAACATGGCTAACAAACAGCATCCTTATATCCATTCAATCAATCAATCAAGTTTATTCTCTATAAGGATTACAATGCGGGGTTTACAGATTTTGGTTACTGTGTGGTTTACATGTAATAAAATACTAATTACAGAGGGGCCACTAGAACACCTAGCAAGGCTAGGTATTTTGGGCAAACTTAGATTAATTCTTAACCCTAAATTATTACAAATTATGGAGTAAGTTGACTAAATACTAAGTGACTAAATACTATTTTGTGAGTTTAGCAATGTGTATGCTTTTGTTTTGGCACAATACATAGTTTCTATATTGGAGTATCACAGGCAAACTTATGACTAGTTAGGAATCATTATTTTAAGATTAAGATTCGTATTTTTGTGCTTATAGTCAAATGGGTAAGCGAGTGAGTGTAAGTGTGAACCACCAGGTGGATTTTATGTAGTTAGTTGACGGGGTATATCAGGGAGATAAGATGCTTTCTAATGGTAGTTTTGAAGGTGATGAATGTGTCTGCAGTTCTAGAGTTTTCAAGTAGGGTATTCCAAATTTTAGGGCCTTTGACATACATTGAATTTTTGTAAAGGTTTAGTCGGACACGGGGAGTGTCGTAGCGATGTTTGTGTCTGGTGTTATGCCTGTGGGTCCTGTCGCAACTATCAAGAAAGCGTTTTAGTTCAAGGTTAATATTGGAATTTAAGGTCCTGTAGATGTAGATTGCACAGTAGTAAGTGTGGATGTTCTGAACAGGGAGTAAGTTTAGATCTATGAAGAGTGGGGGGGGTGTGTTGCCAGGGATGGGATTTAGTGATTATTCTTACTGCAGCTTTTTGTTGGGTTATTATTGGCTTTAGGTGTGTTGCTGTAGTTGATCCCCAAGCACAAATAGCATAGGTGAGATATGGATAAATGAGTGAATAGTATAGAGTGAGAAGGGCATTTTGCGGCACGTAGTATCGTATCTTGGAGAGGATCCCAACTGTTTTGGATACTTTTTTGATATGTGTTGGATATGGGTGCTGAAATTCAGGTTGTTGTCGAGGTATAGGCCTAGGAATTTGCCCTCATTATGTCTGGCAATTAGAATGTTGTCGCTCTTAATGTTAAGTTGCGCAACACCTGCTCTGCTACCAAACATAATATAGTAGGTTTTGTCAGTGTTAGGTGTAAGTTTATTGGCTGTCATCCAAGTAAGAAATGTATCTATAAAAATCAGTACAGACTTGGCTTAATAACTAAAGAACATACCAAAAACTATTCATGACGTCCTTACCAAACTAATTATAAAGTCCAAACAACTGTACTATTCTAGAAGGTTCAATGAAACAAGAGGTAATATGAAAAAGACCTGGAACACACACACTCAAATACTGAGTTCTTAGAAGTTGACCAAAACCAGAGATGATATTCTTACTAAACCCAATGAGCCACACCTCCAGTTTGTAGAAACAGCCAATAAGTTAAATGATTTCTATAGGACAAAACCTTGCCAATAAAATCCCAAGCTCAGATACCCCACCAAATGACTATCTCACCGGCAACTACCCGAACACACTGTTCCTAGCTCCGACTAACCCATACGAAGTCTCCCTTATTATCAACGCACTAAAAAACAAGGCAGGAGATTTAAATACCTTACCACCCTTTATATACAAAAAACTGTCACAAGTGCTATCACCAATCATTGCAACACTCTTTAACAAATCCATAGAATCCTCCACCTTCCCTACAGTACTCAAAATAGCAAGGGTCACCCCAATCCACAAAGGAGGAGACCAAACAGAGTTGAATAACTATAGGCCAATATCCAACTTACACCCTCTCTCAAAAATCTTCGAAAAATTAATTCATAAACGAATCTACTCCTACCTTATCTCCCAAAACACACTCAACCCCTGCCAATTTGGATTCAAGCCTAATAAAAATACTAATGATGCTATTATACACATGCTAGAACATATATACACTGCAATAGAGAAAAAAGAAGTCCCACTGGGGATCTTCATTGACTTACGTAAAGCTTTTGATACAGTTGACCATGACTTGCTCCACGTAAAATTGTCACACTATGGTATAAGAGGGCACTCCCTCAACTACCTCAAGTCATACCTCAGCAACAGAAGCCAATATGTGTACGAAAATGGGGCAAACTCTTCTGCGCAACCAATTACAGTTGGTGTCCCACAGGGAAGTGTCCTTGGCCCTCTTCTCTTTCTCCTATACATAAATGACCTTCCAAATGCTTCGCAATTACTCAAACCCACACTATTTGCAGATGACACTACATACGTCTTCTCTCACCCGAGCCCAGTCACGCTAGCCAATACTGTAAATACCGAATTACAGAAAATATCTACCTGGATGAGGACTAACAAACTTACACTAAACATTGACAAAACCTACTTCATTCAGTTTGGTAACAGAGCTACAGATGTCCCTCTTAACATAATGATAAACGGATCACCTATCACAAAGCTAACAGAGGGAAAATTCTTAGGAATCCACCTTGATAATAGACTCAAATTTCATACACATATACAACAAATTTCTAAGAAAATTTCCAAGACTGTAGGCATACTATCGAAGATACGGTACTATGTTCCACAGTCAGCCCTCCTGGCCCTATATCACTCTCTTATTTACCCCTATCTCACCTATGGAATTTGTGCATGGGGCTCAACAACAATTAACCATCTCAGACCACTAATTACCCAACAAAAGGCTGCAGTTAGAATGATAACAAATTCTCACTACAGCAGCACACTCCACCAATATTCAATACACTAAACCTACTCACCATACAAAACATCCATACTTATTACTGCACCTATTACATACATAGAACACTTAACTCTGATATTAACCCTCCCCTCAAACATCTGCCAACCTCAACAGAACACATGACCATAACACAAGGCACAGATCACTCTTTGATGTTCCTCGTGTCCATCTCACACTATGCAAAAACTCAATGCACATAAAAGGCCCTAAAATCTGGAATTCATTACCTGTAAATATAAAAGAAACACTACCTGTTTATAAATTCAAGTCTCTTCTCAAAGATCACTTACTCACCCAAAACCAAATAAATACTGAATAACTGAACCTTAAAAATTGTATATCTTAAATGTTTCTCACAATTATATCACATAAATGTTAAACCTAAAACCTAAAACTTTATTATTTTTTAAATACACTACCTAACAGAATACTCCATACGACTGAATGTACAACAATGCATGCAACCATATGACCTGTCTTTGTAATACTCATTTGTGCTTTATAGTTATCTGTTTACAATAATGTATTATCACTGATTTCATCATTGCTTAGTTAATTTTAAGCCAGCCCGAAATGCTATGCATAGTATAAGTGGCTTTGGCATGCTGCTCTTATCTGTATTTTTTTGTACCTCTGTATGTATGCTCAAATTGTAAATAAATAAATAAAATAAATAAATAAAAAAAAACTTAATATTATGCAAACAACCGCCCAATTTAAACCCGTGGAAACATCCTGCACTAAACAAACACTTTTGTACTTTTGTTCAGGCCTTCCTTAATCACACACTGTTTTATAGTACATATAGTGAAGCCTTTTCCTTTATTAAGATCAAATTAATTGGTGCACTTTTCTTGTATTTTGCTCAATCCACTTACTCAACAAGTTTTCTGTCTTATTTAGCAGTTCTAACCTATTTGTTAATTCTTTTCAGGTCTCAACATGAGGTTACTCATTGTACAAACTTGTATCTTTTCCTCATTCTCCTTAACTGTATGAATTGATGCCTCATTCAGGCCATAGGCTTATACCCTCTCTCACACACACGCACAACTCTTAAGCTTATCTAATATCTCCATTTTCTTCAAAAAACCAAGATTTTCATGCTTCTGCTTCTTCTTTCCAGTTCCAGGATCACTCACATTCTTTTGGATTCCATTTCTGCTATCCAGAGACAAGATGGTATAATGATAAGATGAAAAGTTGATTCATTAATGCAGGCCATGTACGATATTGGACACATACAAACAAAGCTCTGGTGAAGGAGGTTGTGTACAATACATAGGCTTGCTCTGATGCTCAGTGTGAGGTGAATGGAAAAGACTGGTGTGTACCATATTTTTCCTTATACGTACGTACTTGTTATGGGGGGTTATAGGACCCACTGGCAAAATCCTAGCAGTACTGGGGTAAAAACCTACATTGCAGGAAATGACCTTATTATTTGTAATAGCTAGTTATACTGTACTGTTGGATGCACAGCTGACTTGATTCTGGCATAAAAATTGGACACTTTTTATGTGAGAGGGCTGACCCTTGCAGTATATTAAAGGTGTAATATTATTAAGTTTGTAGGTAGTAGGTTGCTAGACAGCAACCACCCAGGGAGGTACTACCATCCTGCCAAGTGAGTGTAAAACGGAAACCTGTAATTGTTTTACATGATGGTAGGATTGCTGGTGTCTTTTTTCTGATTAATAAAAATGCAAGATTTCAGGTATGTCTTGCTACCTCCTCTTACACTTAGGTCACACTACACATACATGTATAAGCATATATATACACATCTCTCTGGGTTTTCTTCTATTTTTTTTCTAGTTCTTGTTTGTTTCCTCTTATCTCCATGAGGGAGTGGAACAGAATTCTTCCTCCATAAGCCATGCGTGTTGTAAGAGGCGACTAAAATGCCAGGAGCAAGGGGCTAGTAACCCCTTCTCCTGTATAAATTACTAAATTTAAAAAGAGTTTTTCTTTTTGGGCCACCCTTCCTTAGTGGGATATGGCTGGTTTGTTGAAAGAAGAAAGATTATTAAGTTTACGAGTTGTAGTGTTTTTGGAGAAAAGCAAGAGTATTAATCCATTAGTTGAGAATTATAGTGCATGGCAATGCACTATAATTGCTGGCTGGTTCTCCCTTATGCTTCCGGAAGCCAGGCTGGGAGAAGCAGCTCTTCTGGGCAAAACGTGAGTTGCCAGGAGGTAAGATAGTGTAGTATATGGCAGAGTTTTGATGTTCTAACAACAGTGCTCCAGGTTTGCTACAGTGTATCAAAACATTGAATTAAGGCAACCAGGAAGGAAATACAGAGTAATTGTTCTCAAGATGGGTTACACATGTGATGGGAACCAAGACTTGTGGAGTGATTCCAAACCCTTTGCTGGAAGGTTGTGCAGTTCTTGTTGCTAAGGTGAGGGATGAGCCAGACTATTTGTCATGTGTACAGTCTGTAAATTATTATCTTCTGACTATATAGTTATTTCTGTATACAAGTACAGTGGAACCTCTACTTGCGAGCGCATCCACGTGCGAGTTTTTCCAAATACGAGCAGTCGATGGGTCGAAATTTGCTTCCATACGCGAGCAAAATTTCCATATGCGAGCAGACCTCAAGGCAGGTTCCTTGATGCTGGTGAGGGGCTCTTGCCCTTGATCTAGGGAATTGTATCTCATTTGTTTGTTGGACTATCTTATTGAAACTTGGGCACTGTATGATGGAAAGATGTTTCTTAGTGTACACCAAAAATGAGAGAAATCTACGCATAAATAATGGAGTTCACTTCTATGTTTCTATGTTATTAATATTGTTTATTATGTCATATTAGATGAACTGTGATAGATAAATAAGCAGTATAGATGATATTAGTGAAAAATTGAAGTATCCTGTTAGCCTCCTGAGAGCTGGGAATGGATTAATTGCATTTCAATTAATTTAAATGAGGAAAATTGACTCTGCAAATGAGCAAATCCAATTGCGAGCAAGGTCATGGAACGGATTAAACTCGCAAGTAGAGGTTCCACTGTAGTTTGACTTTAACCTATTGTCTGAACTGGAGGCAGGATAAGTTTCAGAAGATGAGATGGCCTTCTTATAAATGAAAGTATTTTCCTAGATATTTTTGGATAATAGTGAGTCATCCTAGACCAGAATGCATGGTGAGAGCGACCTTAAACTAATGTAATAGTAACTCACCACAAAAACCCATCTTTTATGGCATGTTCACCGAAAATATTCTCAAATTTTGCAAATGTTGCAGCAAAAACATTTTAACAGATCATGTGTCATTTAACTGTCTATTGCGCATCTGATCATGCTTGTATGATTACGATGATCAGAATTTTTGTGGCTAATAGGGAGACAAGCTTGTGCTAATTATTAACCTAGGCTGCAGGGCGCTTCCAAGGCCCTGTAATACATGATCCTCTACCTGCACCCACATTGCTGAGACTTTCAGATAATTTAGTTTACTAGAAGCATCCAAAACACAGGTTGAGAGCTGCCAGTCTCACTTCTACAACACTTAGGAATTTATAGTTACTGTGACTCAAGAAATCGTAATGACACGATTGCAAATAAACCATACCCCCGGCCGGGATTGAACCCGCGGTCATAGAGTCTCAAAACTCCAGCCCGTCGCGTTAGCCACTAGACCAGCTAGCCACAGCTAGTCTAGTGGCTAACGCGACGGGCTGGAGTTTTGAGACTCTATGACCGCGGGTTCAATCCCGGCCGGGGGTATGGTTTATAGTTACTGTCTTTAGCTGCCTCCTCCATAAAATTGGATACTAGTGTAAGAATAAAATGTCAGAATGGTTAAACCTTTGATGAGTTTCTAGTCTCTTTACTCTTGGAACCCGGCCATGTGCCAGGCTCGGTCATGGAAACAAACACATGTTTTACTTTGAAGTATGAAACATTTTTGTGGAAGGTTCCAGAAGCTAGTGTGCAATTTTTCCATGTCAGTTCCTTATAAAACTATACTAAATGGAGTTTTAGGGCCTGCACAGTTAACATCACAAACAGTAGCTAGGGGGTGTTACTGACAGGTCATGATTTCAAGAATGGTTCATGGGACTGCCACAGAAAGTAGCTTCTCTTACTTCAAAGCATATCTTACACACTGCAATAAACATTAATTTGAATATTATACCCACCTGGGAAGTTTTTATCAATAAACTGTTTAACAATCAGCATTTCTGGTGGCATCTCTGTAAGGCTGGGGTCTTGACCATCTTCAGAACTGGACATATGAACCCTGGAGAAACAACAGTTTATCAAAACATGAATCAACATTTTTACTCCACTATATCAAGTAGAGATATGTATGATGCTGGAACAAAATTATACATCATTTTTAATTTTTTGCTTTAATTTATAAGAAATATGTATTTTAAATTAATTAAAATCCTAATGTATATAAGCTACTTGCCCAAAATACCTACAGTAATACAGGCTCTTTTCTTAATTCTTTCACTGTCCAAACCCTGAAATTAACCCTTAAACTGTCTACACATAGATATATGTTCACGTGCGGTGGGCTCCAAACATAGATCAACGTTTTATTTTTCATTCCTTCAAATTTGGTGCGACAGGCCTGAGTCACCTAGACATGAAAGAATGGGTCTGTGCAGTCAATGTGCACACTATGAAAAAAATCGGGGACCACTAAGTACCTTGTGGGAGTACCAGTTCAACTAAGTGCCAACTAGAGTAAATAGCACAGCAAACACCAGTGATTCACTGATGTCATGTCATATTAACACTCGCATTTAAAGAGGAAAGTAAAAATAAGTTAGATAAATGCATGAGTGGGTGTGAGGTGGACCTGACTAGCTTGTGCTACTGGGTCAGATGTCATGCTCCTTCTTTCAGTGGATGTGACCTGACTAGGTGGGTCATTGGTCTAAGCTGGGGGTGACATGGACTTGCTTTGCATGGGCCAGTAGGCCTGCTTCAGTGTTCCTATTTCTTATGTTCTTATGTATTTGGCTGGCTAGCTGGCTGGATTTGGCAGTCTCTGTCTGTATCTGTCTATATCTCTGTCTACCTGTCTATCTGTTTATATCTCTGTCTCTCACATGTACTCATAAATACAATTATACATAATGTAAATTACCTAGGGTAACCCAAAAATTCCAGGCCAAGTGCTATACAGTGTTTGTAGATATAAGACATGAATAAACAGGAAGCAAATAATAGCAATGTCACTTGCTCACCAATCAGGGAGCGGCACATACACCACAAACCAACAGGTTTACTAGCCGCTCCCTGAGACAGAGACAAGCAGATAGAAAGACAGACACACACAGGCAGACAGAAAGACAGATAAGCAGAACTAGACAGACAGATAAGCAGAGCTAGACAGACAGACAGACAGATGTACAGATAGACAGACAGACAGACAGATGTACAGATAGAAAGACTGACAGGCAGACATACAGAGACATGTTTGTGTGCAAGAGTAAAAACATATAAAGGCAAGGTTCCTCCTCCAGCAGTACACATTCATCAAATGTCACTTGCTCTCTGACGCCTGTCATAACACCATTATTCAAGGAGTTCATATTATACTCCAGGCACACACAGAAGACAGAAAGACAGATAACTTGAATGGGACAGACAGATTATCAGAGCTAGGCAGACAGACAGATAGATGTATAGATAGGCAGACAGATAGATGTATAGATAGGTAGACAGATAGATGTACAGATACACAGGCATATAGACAGGCAGACAGTCAGGCAGACATATAAACTGACAGACAGACATACAAAGACATGTTTGTGTGCAAGAGTAAAAACATATAAAGGCAAGGTTCCTTCCAGCAGGGCACATTCATCAAATGTCACTTATCTGACCCTTGTCATAACACCATTCAAGGAGTTTCATACTCCAGTGTGTCTAAAACATTGCTGTGACCTATAAATACTTTGTATGTATTTCTAGACAATAGTAAATGACCAGGGCAAGTGAAAATGTTCACCTGTCAGTGTGATTGTTACAATTTGATTACTATTTCAGTATATAAATATTAGTGTCAGCACAAAGATTGGCTATGAAATCACAAGAACTATTATAAATTCTAATTATCAGAACAAAAATAATATAAATTAAAATAAAAAATGAGAAAAAATGGTAAATCGGCAACACTTCTGCAAGCGGCAGGACTGGATGTTGCCATGAGGTGAGCATCCAGAGCCAACTTCACGGTCTTATATCTCAGTAAGTACCTGTCCTAAATTTTTTTTTGTCTTATACCACACAGAAAATAGCCCTCTTTAATTTAGAAACAAAAAACGATTTTTTTATTTTTCAAAATACAGTGGACCCCCGCATACCGATTTTAATCCGTGCAAGAGGGCTCATTGGTATGGGAAATAATCGGTATGCGAATGAATTTTCCCCATAAGAAATAATGGAAATCAAATTAATCCGTGCAAGACACCCAAAAGTATGAAAAAAAAAATTTTACCACATGAAATATACATTTTCCTACACACAAAGAGAAGGATACATGCACAATAGTAGAGTAGTACAGGCACAGTATATATTGTGCATGTACTACTCTACTAAATGAAGAATAAATGACACTTACCTTTATTGAAGATGCAGCAATGACTGATGAGACACTGTGTCCTGGGAGTGCCTTTTCCTCCTGAGTACTGTAGGTCCTGTTTGGCATTTTCTTCCAGAACAGGCCTTATCACACTGTGTATGTCACTACGATTCTTAAATCTCTCAAACCAACCTTTGCTGGCTTTAAATTCACCAATATGAGCACTAGTTCTAGGCATTTTTCCCTGTTCACCTGGGTGTTAGTCGACTGGTGTGGGTTGCATCCTGGGAGACAAGATTAAGGACCCCAATGGAATTAAGTTAGACAGTCTTCGATGACACTGACTTTTTTGGTTATCCTGGGTGAAAATCCTCTGGGTTAATTGTTTCTTGGTATATTCTCAATAAGCCACACCAACAACAGTGCTACAGCAGAGCAGCAGATGATGCTACAGCAGCAGCAAGCAGCTGACAGTGCAGCAGCAGCAGCAGCTGTACCACCAATAGTAGCGATGGTTGATTGGGTTCATTATACAACCTGGCCAGCTCGGAGACACGCACCTCCACTTTCATACTTATCAATGATCTTTTTCTTCATCTCTATAGTAATTCTCACCCTTATTGCTGTAGGTTGGCACTAGAAGCTTTCTTGGGGCCCATGGTCACTTATTTTCCAGATAAAATCACCAAAAACACTGTAATAATACGAAATGTTATGATTGTATGCTTGGATGCTACCGCGGAGGCTGGCTGATAAACAATGCCACCGGCGGAACATGTGAGGCTGGCTAAGGCGCACATTGGACGCGTCTCGGACGAACAGCGGTGAGCGGGTTTTTAAGCGGTATGCGAGGCAAAATTTTAGCGATAAAATGTATCGGTATGCGGATTAAACGTTATGTGATGCCAACGGTATGCGGGGGTCCACTATATTCGGAGTGCCACGCAGGTGAATGTAGAACTATGTTTGGACAGTTTAAGGGTTGATATTACTCCCAGTGTCCACTCTAAAAAAAAAATCTTCTGAAATGGGAGAGAATCTTTTCCTTAAGGTACAGTAGACCATTGTTTAATACGGTTTCACTTGGCATGTTTTGGTTATAGCACGAGTGAAGAATTGCGGCATATTTTTGCATAACACTTTGTAAAATTAACTAAACACGGCTCAGTTTGTGGGGGGGGGGGGGAATTTGGAGTGTGCGTCACCCACGGGAAACACTCTGCTTGGCTGTGGGTTAGGCCACTGAGTCAACAGGGGAGACCTACCGTCATCCCCTGCCACCCCCACCACCCTTGTCCCAGTCAGTGCATACACCTGTAGGACCATCCTCTGCTAGGAGCCAGTTGTGTTTATTTCTGTTTATGGATTGAGTTTAGATCTTTTAATTGCCATATCTTTAATCTGCCAAGCAATAATGGCACCCAGTAGGCATACAAGTGTTGCTGAAAGTGGCAAAAAAAGGTTTAAGCATTTAAGTCTCAGAGTTAACAAAGAAAATAGATATTAGACAAAGACAGCCTGTGGCCATAAGTCAGTTAGTTTAATATTATCTTTATTATGCACCCCATACCCATCCTGTGGGCGGTAGTCAAAAGATGACAGAGGTACATACAGTGGACCCTCGACCAATGCTGGCATCGTCTAACGATAAAATCGCTTAGCAATGCATTTCTGTGTAAAAATATTGGCTCGGCCAACAGTGAAAAACTTGGGTAACAACATTTGTCCTGAACACGTCAGCCTGTCTGTCCAGCCTGAGTGCCTTAGCTGCCCTGCCTTCAGCTAGTGTGCCATTGTTTACAAGCCACGGTGGACGGTTCCACGCATATATGCAATACATTTTGTATTATTCCATTGTTTTTAGTGCTTGTAACTGCTAAATAAACCACTATGGGCCCAAAGAAAGCTTCTAGTGCCAACCCTGCGGTAAAACGGGTGAGAAATACAATCGAAATACTATCGTACCACGGTCAGTTGCTGCTGCACCACTGTAAGCTGCTGCTGTACCACGGTCAGCTGCTGCTGCTGCTGCACCACCATCGGCTGTTGCTGCACCACAGTCAGCTGCTGCTGCACCACCATCAACTGCTGCTGCACCACCATCAACTGCTGCTGTACCACCATTAGCTGCTGCTGCACCACCATCAGCTGTTGCTGCACCACTATCAGCTGTTGCTGCACCACCATCAGCTGCTGCTACACCACCGTCAGCTGCTGCTGTACCACGGTCAGCTGCTGCTGCACCACCGTCAGCTGCTGCTGCACCACCATCAGCTGCTGCTGCACCACCGTCAGCTGCTGCTATACCACCATCAGCTGCTGCTGTACCACGGCACGGTCAGCTGTACTACTTGAAGATGCGGAGAGGGTGTTGTTGGTGTGGCTTAACGAGAAACAATTAACCCCAGAGGGTTAGCGCCCAGGAAAACCCAAGAAAGTCAGTGTGTCATCGAGGACTGTCTACCTTATTTCCATTGGGGTACTTAATCTTGTCCCCCAGGATGCAACCCACACCAGTCGACTAACCCCAGGTGAACAGGAAAAAATGCCTGGAACTAGTGCTTATAATGGTGAATTTAAGGCCAGCAAAGGTTGGTTTGAGAGATTTAACCCTTTACCGGGCAGGCTGGCTTACGCACCAGTGTCCATGACGTACTAGTACGCATAAATTCTAGTGAATTCAAATCTAGTGAGAGAAA